GAGCACGTTAAATTTGAATTCACAAACCTTTTATATAAAAATATAAATAAATAAAGCGATCAAAAGGATACTCACTGCCTTGCCAGCAATAGACATGGCAGCCTCCCTAGACAATCGCAGACCGTGAGCTGCCTTTCTCACAGCTTGTTTTACATCAGCGTCATAACCATCAACACCAGATGCAATTGCATCCTTCACAACCTGGACAGAAACCACCACAAGAATCAGTATAAAGCCTATTCCAAAATAGCAGATTTTTAAACATATTAAAGCATCTTAAAACACAACAAATAGCGGAGGCTCTAATAGGAAACTACATCAAGGAGCAACTCAAACTAAGAAAAAAAAAATTATGGTACATGTACATATGCAGATGATGGGTCATGAGGGAAAACCACCATACTGGTCCATGCTAACCAAATATCACAGATGCCAAACAAAGGACCTTAAAAGAAAATTTGTAGTTACCTTTTCAAACAAACTGCCACAAATATCTGAATGGGCAGCCTCAACAGTCTGCTGAGGAATACAAAGCATGACCCGTAGCCTTAACAATGCAGCAACATCATCATCATTCAGCTCTCCATCAGCAACACACTGCTGAAGCTTTTGTCGGTATATTTCTAGAACAAGAAACACAAATCAGATTCTGAGAGGGACAAAACAGACAATTCATTATAACACCAAGGTATAGTTTGATTATGAACCAAGGGAACAGATATTCTTAAATGCATATTAACTGTTGACAAAATAAAAAAGGAATGACTTGGTGAGTGTTTTAGAATAATTTGTACAAATGACGAGCATTACAATTTCCATTACCTTCATGAATCTGGCTGGCTCTTTGTGGATCAAAATGCAGCTCCTCACAGATATTTTGAAGGAAGGCTGCTTTGCTGTCTGCTGCTTCTAAATCACCCGATGTAACAGACTGTGAAAGACGTTTACGGTAAACCTTCAAAGTAACATCAAGCACAATGGATTCTGCCTCTCGTTTGCCTAAACCAAATATATTCCTTAACTGATTCAACGCGGAATCCTAAACAACCAAAAATTAATCATGAATAAGAATAGTATAAACGGCAGCAGCAATGGTAGCAGTTGTTAAAGCAGTTTACAAGCTAAAAAATATGCATCCCAGCCTTTGTTTACCTTACTCTCTTCCAAGCGACCTGTGGATAAAGAATCCGTAACATAAGCTCTGAAGAGGAGCTTCAAGTCGTCCATATTTCTATCAGCATCGTAGTTGCCACCTAAGTCAGATATACAAGTAAGTAGAGCTGGGGTGTCCAAAATTAGCCATTAGAGACGAACAACCAGGAGACCAGTACATATTCTTACCAAGTAAAGAAACTGGCCCAAGCCCAGGTGCAAAGCGAGCTGCATCTGGATGGTTCTTTAGTGAGATGAGCAAATTATTGAGTTCCAGCATTTTATCAAGCTCTTGCACAACTTCCGTGATTCCAGTGCTGAAAAACTAAGTTTATTAGATTCCACTGTGTTACAGTTTGAAAACCCATTAATGTCATCGAAACTAAAACCTCTTAAAAACTGAAAACAAAACAACTTCTTTCTACATTCATATTTTGCAGGACCGTAATATCTTGGACTCTTTCATACCAAAACTAAAAAAACAAAAACAAAATCGAAATCATAACTAAATCCCCATATGGCCAAACATGGGTGATAGCGGACTTATATATTCTTATATATACAAATAACATAGCAATAAGCTGCATGCACTTCTGTATGGAAGTAGTGAACATACGCTGATCTGGTTCTGGATTTGAGCATACGAAGTGCTGCTGATATATTTGCCTCAACTAGTTTTCTTGCGTGTTCTTTGAACAAGTCTTCTGCATGCTGCATCAAACAGAATTATCCACATCAAGAAACAACTACATCTACATACAATCATGTGCAGGTCTAGCAAACACATTGCAAAGAAGGTACCTCGTCAGAGAGCCGATAAATGCGTTGTGCTTCCTTAAGCTTAACAAGCTGCTCTGCACCAATATCTGAGAATAAGATAGTTATATTTGTCAGGATTTAGCGCATAAAGGTGTAAGAGCATTACAATCTTACATAAATAAAATGTTGAACTCATCTACTGAATATCTTTATAAAAAAAATTACTGAAAAAGAGAGACTTAGAGCAAGATAATATGTCAACACTGCCACTTCGTTTAAGATAACTAACACGTCGTTCCTGTTATGGTGTCTTAAACTGGACCATCAAATTGATAAAATTGGAACATCGAATATCAAATTAGAGTATAACAAAAAACTCAAATTTCAATTGTCCCGGCAGTGAATGATAAAGGCCTTAACGAATGACGCGGTTACCTCTGCCAACAGATTTTAGCTTGGAAGCATATAAACGCTGGGCATTGTCACGGATAGCCAGCTCAACCTATCAGAAAAAGGGAATTGTGAGTCATGCAGAATTACGATATCATACGAGTCTGAACCAATTACGTTCCAACAACCATAGAATAACAAGTAAAATGGCAAGAACACTCCGGGAATAAAACATAAAGCACAACCATTACCAGTCAAAGCATTTTACAAATCACGATACCTGGGAATCGGTAACTTTGAAGACACGCTTCCAAGGTAAGAGGAAAGATGAAGCGTCCCCAAACACAAGAGTCGAAACATATATCAGCTTCTGAAATGCCTGCACTGGTGACTCACTAACAATGGTCAAAGCCCTGTACCTCAACCATTCAAAAAGGGTAACAACAATCTCAAAGTTTCTAGCACCAAAGGCCTACCCGACGCTGCTCTAGATCACCCTCGCGGTCGGTCTCAAGCCTCTGTCTGAAAATTCGCCTACCAATCTGAAACCCGTAAACCACCAACACATTTTAAGATGGCCAAAAAAGTAAACTCATTTGCTGTCACAAACAGAGAAGTAAATAAAAACCCACCTCCATATGCATTGAAGCTGCTTCCGGGTCATCGATTCCCAGAGAATTCTTGAAGCTGACGATGGTGTCCGCTTCGTCGCCTTTGAGTTCTTGAGCTCCAGGAGGAAGAACAGCAGTGACAAAACGACAGTACAAATCACAGAGCTCGGCATTAAACGCCTCGTCTTGCTTGCTCACACCAAATCTGCAAAAAGCAACAATTTTTAACCGGGACTCACAGTAAATTGCACTACCCAGCTGAAAATTTCGCTACTTGATTCTCACTTTCTCGCAATGCCTTCGATGTCCTCCTTCTTAACAGCTTTCGGGTCGTCCAACCCAGCAACGTAATTGTGCAAATCGACGGCGGCGACCTCGGGAGCGCAAGAGTTCAAAGCGTAGACTGCTGCTCCACCGGCGGCTCCAAGCACCGCTGCACCACCATACGCTGCGTTTTGGGATTTCCCCAACCGGAGACCCAACCCGTACCCAGCTGCCACAGCTCCGGCGAACACAATTGCCGAGGTCACTATCCGGAGCGGCGGCGACAGCTTCTCGACAACGGGCTGTACGCCAGTGAGCTCTCTCTTGCCGCCGAAGACATCGTGAGGCGGCGGTGAGGCGGCGTCTGCTAATTGTTCCGAGGGGGCGGCAGAGTTCCGGGGAAATGAGGCCCTGAAACGGGGTCTTCGGGATTGTACGGAGGTTGCGGCGGGGAGAGAGATGGGGTTGAGGAACGGCAAGCGGAGAGCGGAGCGCTGGGAAGTGAGAGTGGAGGGATTCATGGGTCCCACTGCGGCAGGATAAGGAGAGACGGCGTCGTTTGGGGAGGGGGGGAGTGTGGAGGGAGTTAAAGGGCTTTGGTAGGGTTTGGGATCGGAGGCTTTTATTGGGTTTGACGGAAAAGAAAACTGAGGAGGATTGGAGAAGATAACAGGGCGGAATAAGTGGGGAAGACGACAAAAGTGAAACAGTTTGTTGGCCGTTGGCTACCGTGAACTACAACGTTGGCCTATTTGGGCCTAAAAGTTACGGAAAATAAAATTGGCAACTGTTATTGGCATTCCAAAAATTTTATTCCATATTTCTCACAAGTGTATTTTTTTTTTAAAATATAGAAAGTTTGAAGTGTAGAATGAGAAATTTTGAGTGCCAATAACAATTCCCATAAAATTTAGGATCAAACTGTTTTTTTTTTTCAAAGTCATTTTAAATTGCTCTTATTTTTTTAAAACACATCAAACAAGTATCTCAATCAATCTATTAAAAATGTCACATTTCCTAAATTCCAATTAACTTTTCAAATATAGATTATGTTCAAAATTCATCAACTGGGTATATCATGAATAATATTAACAAAGAAAATGGTTAATAATTCCAATAGGTTTTTAAGGAGTTTGTTTAGGCTCATGTGATTTCCTCATTAGCTTATTCTTGGCTCGTAATGACACATTCCGACTTAAATCAGGGCGTGTTTAACTAGTACTTTTAGTAGTTTGATTTTTATTCACTCGTATTTCTCTATATCATTATTGCTTCCACACTGTGCACATTGTTACGTCACTCTCATGTGACGCCCAGCACGCCCTGATTTAGGTCGGGATGTGTCACGTAAAGTTTCCAATTCTTCTTTCTGACAGTGAAGATGGTGGTGTCCGCATCATGGCAATCCATACCATTTCAACAACCTTCATGACACTCTTTTTTATGTTGGCGACTTGAGTTGTAGGGTGGAGTTGGTGGTTTTGCATTGGGTTTGGTGGTGATAGCATGATGAGGGTGGGGGTTAACATTTGTTGGTGGAGATCATCTATTGATTTTGGAGATAAAGTAAGCCTGCTTAATCTAACAATTTTTAATATTAGCTTAATAAATGTGACATTTTCAATAAGTTGAGTACTTATTTGGAAGGTTTAAAAATATTAAGATCAATTTAGAATGACACTAAAGGTAGAAAATTTTAGATACTTAATCCTAAACTTTAAATGAAAATTTTAATTGGGCTTAAATATTGCTATTTGGGCCTATAAGGTATGAAAAATATAATTTAATTGGGCCTAAATATTTATTTTTCTTTACTTTCTAACCTTTTTTCGTTCACTGTCTGCAGCTCCCCTTCAGAATCTCCAAAAATGGCCGTCTCCTCACTGCGACTCCCCTTCTCCCTCTGCCTCCCAAAGTTCCCATCTCGCACCTTCCATTTTTCAAAGCCAATTTTACCCCTCAGACTCAACCTTATTTACTGCTGCTCCTCCTCCTCCCTCTATACGCCCGAACAAACCTCAACCAGCTCCGGTCACAAATGGCAGTCCGTCCGAAAGAGGAAAGTGGTTCTCCGGGTCGGGTACGTCGGCACCGAGTACCGAGGTCCGTTTCAAATTTCCACCATTTTTATTGATTTTTTTGTTCGGTAAATTTCAATACTTTTTATTTGGTTTTTGCATTTTATATGCAAAGTTTAATACTTTATAGCTCTCTCATTGTGTTTTCTTTCAGGCTTGCAAATGCAACGAGACGAAAATTCATTATCCAGTAAGTTGCTTCGTCCTTATGTTTTTATACAAGCGATATTCTACCTTAAACTAATTTAAATTTGCGAGAATTTGAACTGTCAAAACAACAGAATTTATTTAATGTTTATTTATCGTCTTCGTTTTTTATATAAGTTAACGTAGATTAGTTGAAATGAGGGCGAGCTTCGGTGCAACCGGAAGGTCACGGTTCGAGTTGTGGAAACCGTCTCTTTGCAAAGCAAGGGTAAAACTACTACAATAAATGCTCCCCTGACTCTTGTGAAGCGGGAAACCTTGTTGGTTTGAGGTCGCCCTTTGTGTAGATTAGTTGAAATCCCAATTAAAATGGCAATGCCATGAACACTTAACCATTGAGTCATTGACATGTGAAATACGTATTTGGATCAGCTTATCATATGCATGGATGGGATGTAGCTAAAAAGAATTAACATTTTGAAATGTAGCTATTGAGAAAGAGTTGGAAACTGCCATATACAATGCGGGCGGTATCCGTGAGAGTAATCTGGGGAACCTTAACAAGATTGCGTGGGCCAGGAGTAGCCGGACTGATAAAGGAGTAATGAATCTGACTTATAACCAATTTCCGTTTGTTTTGGGTAACCTTATTGTTTGCTACTCGATTTTGAGGACGTTTGGTTTTCATCTTTGTTGCGGTGAAATTGATGTTGTAGGTTCACTCTTTAGCAACGATGATATCATTGAAAATGGAAATCCCAGAGAATGCATGGGTCGGAGACCCTTTTGGCATGGATCTTGTGAATCACATTAACTCTTATCTGCCTCGTAATATCAAAGTTTTCAGCATTTTGCCTGCGCAGAGGTATGAAATGAGTCACAGAGTTCTGTATTTCCAGAGTGGAATCAGGACGTGCATTTCCTTGTTAATGTATAGTTCCAATTCGCAGATGTTAATTAAATCTAGATTTTGTTGGTTTGTTCCTGGGGACGGCATGCATTTTCTTTTACGGGTGATTAATTTGATTGCTTGTTCATTTTAGGAGCTTTGATCCTAGAAAGGAGTGTAATCTCCGCATGTATTCATACCTCCTTCCTGCTGAGGTTATTGGAATCAAAAGTCACTTCAACGCAGATGAAATTGATTATCACATCTCAGACTTCAATAATATACTAAAAGCTTTCGAGGTGTGGTATTTCTGCTTTCATTCATTTCTGTAATACCAGCTATGGTCCTTTGAGCCCCTAAATTAGTTGCTTAATTGAGAAATATTCTTGAATAAAGTTTGTCTGTGAATGCACTCTGCAGGGAGAACATCCTTTTCATAATTATACTATACGATCTAAATACAGGTCGAAGTATCCTGCAAAACAATCACCCAAACATGGAAAAGTGTCGATAGCAGGTAGATCAACCAGAGAGGCAACAGCCTCTGAGTCTGAGTCTGAGGAAAGCGACAGGGAAGAATATTTTGATGAAACATATGCATCAGAATCAAATGCTGAGGAACTGAACCAAATTTCTTCGTTTTCTAGCAATAGTGAGGACAGCTTACTCGATGCTTGCAAGAAGCAGGGAGATGTTCTAAAGGTTCAAAGTGCTGGTTCGGTCATCCGTGCAAGATGGTTATTTGAACCTGATGAAAGAGATAGAATTGGTGCTTCTCATTTCAGAAAGATTTTTCAGTGCTCTTGTGGGAAGCTGGAGAAATCGCTTGGACATGATTATGTTGAAGTTTCCATATGGGGAGAGTCTTTCATGTTACATCAAGTAAGTCATTTTGGCGTGACCCTGAAAGTTCTTTAGCGCGCACACACACCGTACTCTAATTCGTCGCATCAATATTTCAGATTTCACCCCAATAACTAAGATATTTTCCTGTTGCCATTTGTCTGCTTCTTATTGGGAGAGTTAGTTCAGTAACAATAATCTTTGTATGCTCACCAGATCCGCAAAATGGTTGGAACTGCTGTGGCTATAAAGCGCGAGTTACTCCCTAGAGATATTTTGACATTGTCACTGGCCAAGTTTTCCCGGATAGTCCTACCACTTGCCCCATCTGAAGTTTTGTTTTTAAGAGGGAACAGGTTTTCAATTAGAGTAAAAAATGTAACAAGGCCTGAAATGACGACAATGGTTGAATCAGAAGAAATAAATAAGGTGGTTGACGAGTTCTTCATATCTGTTATGTTGCCTCAAGTTACAAAGTTCTTAGATCCTTCAGGATATCCTTGGAATGAATGGGTTGAGAATTTGGATAGAAACACAGGCATTCCAGATGCAGAATTGGATGAAGTCAGGAACGCTTGGAAAGTGTGGAGGGAAAAGTTTGACGGTTTTGCATCAGTCCGAAACCAAAGAGACAAGGTAGATGCCGATGATTGCAATGGATAAGCTTTCTCATGGTTTATTGGGATCTAACCGGAACACCCTTTTATGTTCTTTGGAAATACACCGAGATCATACAAACTCCAATGCGGGAGGTGACACAGCTTTCTGTAGTTTATATTAACAAATCAATATGATACTAGTGCATGCGTACCTGGTTTATTGAATGCTCATCGTACTTCGATCACAACATACTTTCACGGTCTTGAATGTCCTTGAAAGCATAACATGGCGAACTTTCTTCCTTCTACAATAGGGCAAATTTCATAAAGCTAATATTTACAAGGACTCTGGTGTTGTATGCAGGTGTAACGGACTGTGGAGTTCATCAAAATCAGCCGTGGCTTATTCACTGCCGGTGCTGACTCGGCAACCGACGCTGTTCCCATGACAAGAAAATACAGGAAACAGCCAGTATTTCCTGTGCTCTGATACATGTTATTGAATTGTTAAGCACTCTGTCATTGTTTACTGAACCGGTTCGATCATTTTTTTATTTCATTTGTAATTTGTTGAGCAGAAAACTTTGGATGTTATTCTTTCAGAGCTTAACAAAATATGAGTTATGCAAACGTAGTTTACAACCGACTTCATGGGATAAGGTTTTGTTGTTGTATGATTTTGTATCATCCAATGATTCTTTACCGATATTTTCTTTTTCAAGTTTGCAATGCTTTTACCTCGGCTTCACTAACATTATTGCTGTCAAAAATATTGTTCAGTGTCATTTTCTCTAAAAAGGGTATCTGTTATTGTCCAGTGTCATTTTTGGACGGAAAGGTGAACGGAAGTGGTATACGTGTCAAACTACAACACTGTGAAGGTTGTAGGTGAACGGAAGTGGACATATTAGTTATTTTCTTTTAGTTTAGGTGGTAATTGCACATATTTAAAAACTTAAGGTGTCATTCGCGGAATGCCTTAGATTTAGAGTGAATCTTCATTAAGGCTTCCTGACTAGGATAACTCTTATATTGAGCAGGGTGTACATTGAGTAGGACTATATGGATCAGTTGGATGTATGGGCGGAGCCACTCTTGGACCCGGGTGGTCCCGAGACCATCCGGACATCCGAAGAAGCACCTGTGAGGACTTATGAGGACCACCCAACGGCCTAGACATGTGTTGGAAGAGAGAATACCAAGAGTTGTGCTGATGTTCTACAACAGAAGCTTTGGACCAAGAAGAAAGATCTAATTTCAAACAAAGTGGAACATAGAGAAGACCACCATGGCTCTGTTGTTCTTGGACCTTGGTTACAAAGAAGAAGAAAGACTTTCTCTCTCCATTTCTCATGTGACCAATTCCCATTTTTCATTCTTTTTCTTTTTTCTTTTAATTGTTTTCTAATCAAGTTATGCCACCCTAACATTTTAATTAATTAGCAAAGGGATGGTGTATTACTCAACCAATATTTTTATGCCGTATGTTAACACAGTTATTTTTATAAATTCATACGACCTCTGAAAAGTATTCCATAAAATACTATGGACTCATAGTCACTTGAACTTTCATCTCATATCATCAAATTTACTAAAATACTAATTAAAGCAAAAAGATATTTTGTATCTTATAATTAAATAATAAACTTAATTAAATAATAAGCCCTAAATTTTCAATACAAGTATAGTTTTTTTGGAAGCGTAAATAGGCACTTACTTGTATGATACATATAGTTAGTTTACTTAAATCTTCTTCGTCCTTCTAGGCCTTTGCCTAGACCCGCCGCCGGATTAGCATCTAATGTCCCTTGATTAAGTAAGACCATCCGATGTTAGAATTTTATCTGCCATTGGTTGGATGGGATCAAAATATAAAAGTTTCTCATACTTTTGTGAGACGTGATAATCAAAAAGAGACTTACCCTACAAATGAGGTGGTTGGCAACTGGACACAAACTGGGAGAATTCCTAATGACTGCTCATGTGTTTTTTTTTTAATTATTGGAGTTTCTTGCAAAGTCTTGGTGGGATTAATGCAAAGCGTGATTTTCATTCTTTCTGTTTCATGTCCATTAGCAAGATCGTGAGTAAGGACTTATTACCATTTGAAGCAGTTACTATCGAAATGGACACACGTTCTTATGATCATCCACTTATTATGGATTTCCAATTCATTAATGTATATGTAATTATATGTATCTATACGACCAGAAAAGGAGAAAATATATAATGAAATTATACGAATAAAAAAGATCATTAAAGCACCAAAGCTTGCATATCCTTTCATCCTTCAACCACATGATCACGGTTTGGAGATATTTTTTAGTGTGTCCGAAACACGGACATATACACCATAGGTCATTACACAAGTGGAGAGACTTGAAAAAAAAAAAAAAAAAAAAAAAAAAAAAAACTTCACACCACTTATTATTTAACATATAACTGTTAGGAATATAATAGAACCTATATGTAATTAAAGGTTTTCCTTTACTTAGCTGTTAAGCTAATTGTACCTATTTATATGATATTGTATTCTTTCAGACAGTAAGTTGAATTCATTCAATCAATACACTTCTCTTTCTAGAATCCTCTCTCTCTCTACCTTTATCTTTTCTCTCACAGAATCATAAGTTTCTACATGGTATCTTCGCCGATGTCTAACGACCTAGATCCACTGCTTCTGTCTTCTTGAATTTTCTCACCCTTTCTCTTCTCCCAAACAGATCTTATCTACCTGACCTTCTTCAATTTCTTAAAATTTCTTCTCCAATCTTGCTTCTCTAATGGCGACTGGTGTAAATTCTGCGGATCTTTCTTCTCCGGCTAGTTCTTCTGGTTCTAATGTCGCGCCCAATGCGTCCAATCCGTCTCTTTCTTCGATCACTGTTCAGAATATCACTAGCATGGTTGCAACGAAACTCACTTGCCACAACTACATAACTTGGCGTAGTCTTTTTCTTCCTGTTCTGAAACGATTCAAACTTTTAGGGCTTGTCAATGGAACTGATGTGTGTCCTCCTCCATTTGTGACTGATTCGTCTGGATCTCAAGTTTCTAATCCCGCATTTGAGACTTGGTGCGATCGTGATCAAATCTTGATGATTTGGATTAATTCAACATTATCTGAAGATCTCCTTCCATTGACGGTTGGCATGGACGATTCTAGATCTCTCTGGCAATCTCTCGAACGGCGGTTTTCTGGTGCATCTCGTACTCACATTCACAGCCTTCGTTCGAAGATTCAGACTATCCAAAAAGGAGATTCTTCAATGACTGATTACCTCAACTCTCTTAAGGAAATCTCTGATAAACTTGCCGCGGTTGGCGAACCGATTTCTGACTCAGATCTTGTGGCCTACATTCTTTTTGGTCTCTCCATTGAGTATGAATCCTTTATTGATTCTATTGAAACACGATCTGACTTTGTCAATCCTGATGAGCTGCATAGATTACTTCTGAGTAAAGAGATTTCTCTTCTGAAACGCAAAACCAGAGAACCGTCTTCTTCTTCAGCACCGTTTCATGCTTATACGGCTCAACCTGGTGTTTCTGGTTCCGATAATTTCAGAGGCCGTGGTTGATTTCAGAACAAAAATCGCTACAATTCGAATCGCAATTTTGGAGGCAATTGTCATTACAACAACAATTCTGGCAGTCTTCTTGGTCCTGGTCTTAATTCCAGATCCACATTCTCTGGTCAGAATTTCAACAATTCCTTTTCTGGCCGCTCTCTTCAGTACCAATTATGTCTCCAATTTGGTCATGAAGCTCTCAACTGTGAGAAGCTCCTTCAGTTTGCATCTCAACAATCAAATCATGGACCTCCTGTTGGCATGACGGCTGCGACTTCTCCTCCACCGAGCTATTGGTTGACTGATAGTGGAGCCTCTCATCATGTGACACCTAATCCATCCTCTCTTAATTCTGCAATTCCCTACAATGGCAGTGATCAGCTGTTTGTTGGTAATGGTAAAGGTCTGTATATTTCTCATACTGGATCTGCCTTAATTCGTACTTCCAATGCTACATTTAAGCTCAATGATGTGTTGTTGGTTCCCAAAGCATCCCATAATCTGTTATCCGTTTACAAATTTGTCTATGACAATTGGGCTTCTTTGACTTTTGATCCTTTTGGGTTCTATATCAAGGACCTAAGAACTGGGAAGATGTTTTTCCAGGGCCTTTGTGAATGTGGCTTATATCCTTTCTACTGGACTGCATCCAATAAAACCTCAGGAATTGCTCTCTCGCCTACGGCATTGATGATAGCTAAGGCAGATGTTCATCTCTGGCATAAAAGACTCGGTCACCCATCGAGCTTAGTTTTACATAATGTTGTCCATAAACATCAGCTACATGTTATTGGTTCTGTAAATTCAGGGTCCATTTGTACTGATTGTAAGTTGGGGAAGGCATCTAGATTACCATTTTCTACTTTGCCTTGTACTTCCACTAGGCCTTTTCACTTATTGCATACAGATGTTTGGGGTCCTTCTCCCACTCTTTCATGTACTGGTTTCAAGTATTACCTCATTTTGGTCGATGACTACACTAAATACAGCTGGCTTTATCCTATGGTTTATAAGTCTGATGTTTACTCCACTTTCAAGACTTTTGTTCTTAAAGTTACAAATTTCTTTTCTTGCAAGATCCAATGTCTCAGGTCAGATTCAGGGGGTGAGTTCTTAAGCAAGAATTTTCAGACTTTTCTCAATGAACAGGGTATTACACATCAGTTAAGTTGTCCGCATACACTTGAACAAAACGGCTGCGCAGAAAGAAAGCACAGGCATGTTGTTGAAATGGGTCGGACCCTTCTCTTTCAGAGTGGAATGGCACCAAAATTCTGGGTTGAGGCTTTTCAGACTGCTGTCTACATTATAAATAGACTGCCTCCTCAAGCATCTTCTACTAGCCCTTGGGAAAAACTTTTCAATGCTGTTCCTAAGTATCACACTCTCAAAGCCTTTGGCTGTGCGTGCTACCCATGGCTGCAGCCCTATTCGTCCACTAAACTTGATCCGAAGAGCAAGTTGTGTGTTTTCCTCGGCTATAGTCTCAATCATTGTGGCTATCGTTGCTTTGATCCTGTGGCTAACAAAGTGTATATCTCACGGCATGTTACTTTTGATGAACACCTGTTCCCTTTTAAGCAAGGCTTGTTCTCTACCTCTACTTTACCCCAGAGTACTTCACCTCTCAGCTCTTCTCCTATTACTGTCACTATTCATGTCTCCTCTTCACCAAGCCCTTCACCGAGTACTTCACAGCTTGCTAGTCCTGCTGGTTCATCACCACATCAAGCATCTTCTGTACCTGACAGTAATGCGTCCACAACTGCCACTTCTCATCAGTCCACTCCCTGTTTACCATCTACTATTGTACCTGCCCCTGCTCTACCTAATTCACACCCTATGATTTCGAGAGCTAAGGCTGGAATTCATAAACCAAAGGTCTTCACAGCAACAAAACATTCCCTTCCAGCCTCTGTTGATTCTATTGCTTGTCTTCCTTCCACACCTACCACCTTTTTACAAGCTTAAAAAAATCCCAACTGGATGCAAGCTATGAAGGATGAGTTTCAAGCATTGAAATCCACAGGCACTTAGGAATTGGTTCCGTTTCAGTCTCATTTGAACTTGGTTGGTTGTAAGTGGGTCTTTCGACTCAAACATAAACCCGATGGCTCTATTGAACGGTATAAGGCTCGTCTTGTCGCCAAATGTTTCCATCAACAAGAGGGTCTTGACTTCTCTGAGACATTCAGTCCCGTTGCAAAGCCTACTACTATCCGAATTCTCTTATCCTTTGCTGTTTCCTATGACTGGTTTGTCCATCAGCTTGATGTCAGTAATGCTTTTTTGCATGGTACATTAAAGGAGGATGTCTACATGGTCCAGCCTCCTAGTTTTGTTGATCAGTCCAAACCTACACATGTCTGCAAACTCCAATGGTCACTCTATGGTTTAAAACAGGCACCTCGTGCTTGGTATGATGCTTTTCACAAGGCTATCCTCTCTTCAGGTTTCTCCTCTTCACATTCTGACTCCAGTCTGTTTATCAAAAAGGATTCTACCATTACTTTCATCCTAGTCTATGTTGATGATATCATCATCACTGGTAGTTCTACCACAGTTTGTCAATCCATTATTACTCAGTTACAAACTATGTTTCCTGTGAAAGACTTGGGTGATATTCACTACTTTCTCGATATTAAGGTTCACCGAAATGCCAAAGGTTTATTCCTGCATCAGTCTAAATATACTCTTGATTTGCTAAAGAAATCTGATATGATTGGCGTCAAGCCTTGCTCCACTCCTGTTGGTTTTGCGAAACTGGATCACTCTGGTTCTCCTATTTCTGATCCTTCCTTTTATCGCTCCACTGTTGGAGCCTTGCAGTATCTAACATGGACTCGGCCTGATTTGGCTTTTGCGGTTAACCAAGTCTGTCAACACATGCATTCTCCTCGGACAGTCCACTTACAGGCAGTTAAACGGATCCTTCGATATTTGAAGGGTACCCTTAATTTCGGTCTTTGGCTAACAAAAGGTCCTCAATACCTCACTGCGTGGTCTGATGCTAACTGGGCTGGCTGTCCTGTTGACAGAAGATCTACCAGTGGCTACTGTGTTTTTCTTGGACCGAATCTCATATCCTGGAGTGCAAAGAAGCAATGCACTGTTGTTCGATCGTCTACTGAAGCCGAGTACAGGTCTCTAGCTCATACAGCTGCTGAACTCAGTTGGGTTTGTCAAGTATTGCAGGATCTTTCCTTTCCTCTTCTCAAAACTCCTGCGATTTTCTATGATAATAAAAGTGCAATTGCACTGGCCTTCAATCCTGTATTTCATGCTAGGACAAAGCATGTTGAAATCGACTATCATTATATTCGAGAAAAGGTTCTCTGTGGCAAAGTCAGTGTGCATCATGTTGCTTCTCTTCTTCAAATTGCAGATATTTTCACTAAATCTTTGCCCTCTGATAGATTTGCCGAATTGGCTTCCAAGCTTTCAGTTCGATCTCCTCCCTTCACCTTGAGGGGGTGTGTTAGGAATATAATAGAACCTATATGTAATTAAAGGTTTTACTTTACTTAGCTGTTAAGCTAATTGTACCTATTTATATGATACTGTATTCTTTCAGACAGTAAGTTGAATTCATTCAATCAATACACTTCTCTTTCTAGAATCCTCTCTCTCTCTCTACCTTTATCTTTTCTCTCACAGAATCATAAGTTTCTACAATAACACCCCGTGTTCTGGTCATTGAAAATCTCTCCATAGTTTATTTGGTAAGAAAAAGAAAAAGGTAAATACAAATTCTCGTTAGTTTTATGGCTTGAGCAAATCCACAACCTATATATGCTTGCCATAAAACTTGCATTATTCTTGTAATTAACTTGATCAGGATGAAAGAGTTAATCCTTGCATTGTTCTTGTTGTTGGGTAACTTCACTCCAATTTTGAATGGCTTGCAACATCGCTTCTTTCACTACCTCAACATCTTTCTGGTCAGCACTTGGATTATCCTACAACATCAAATTCAAGAGAATAAATCTTCAAACATGTTCAAATTAGGAAAATCATACGATTCAAAAGAGAGGCAATTTTTCCAACGGATTCGAGGCAATCAAGGAGGAGAAAAGGGAAAAGATCTTATATATATACGCTCATGTAAAGTAATAAATTCCCTATAAAAAAAATTGTATTTTATGTTCCATCATTTGTTTAAGTACGTGTGAGCCTTAATTATATGATGCATGTGATCAGAATATTTGTGTACATATATGAATACGAATAAAACGAGACAGATTCATCACTTTTTATTATTCTTACCTTGATTGTTCCAACAGCTTCTAGAAGAAAATTGTTGGAACAAGAAACCCTAGCTTGATGCACATCAAGGCCTAGCTCTCCAAAAGCTTCCAATATGAAAACAAGTAACCCACTGCATCTTTTTTCAGTGAACATCTTAATCTGAAAGCCTCTCTCTCCAGCTTCGACTTTGAGTTGCTGATGATACATATGATGAAAAGAAAGAATTAAACCCCAATTAGAAAAATTATTAATTAAAAATTAATGAATTAATCCCTTGGTAATAAACTAAATAAGGATGGTATATGGAACTTAGATGCTACCACAGGGAAGGAGTTTTGGGAAGTTGACGTTTCCGTTGAGGCAATCATCTGTTGATTCATTTCCTCCACTTTTCGCTTTAAGTTTTGTATGTACTTTGATGCATCCAATATAATTGAGGTTTTACTGTGCTGCACACATACACACAAAACACATGGATAGTCAAGAATCGTGAGTACTGTATATACATATCTGTGTATGTAAGCTGTAAGTATTAAGATTAGAATTTAAAAGAGAAATGAATTGTAGAAATTTTCAAATAGCCTTAGTTTGAAATCAGAGAGAAGCCCGGGATTCTTGGTTTCAAGAAAAACGAAGAAGATCATTATGATGATAATTCAATAGGGTATTATATAAGTAGAGAAAATGAATACATACATACATACATACATACATACATATATATATATATATGAATACACATGAGTAGTACCGCATGAGACTTAGAGATGGAGCGAAGGGTTAGCAGTTTCTTGGATACTGGCGCTCTCTTCATCTGCACCTTGGAGACCATGGCCTCTCTCTCTCTCTCTCTCTCTCTCTCTCTTCTTGCTGATGAATATATGTACTTATAAAGTACAAGTTGTGGGGGAAAAAAGAGAGAAGTTACTACTGATTATTACTATCAACCTCAACTCACTTTTACTAAATAATAAATATAATAAAATCTTCATAATATTTAATAGTAGAACATGTGAGAAAGATGTATAATGTAAGTGCTCCAACATCATATATATAATCTTAGGATATTGTTGGCGTTCCAAAAAAAGTCAAATTGCGCTTCTCATTAGTGAAAAGATAATATTGAAGGAGTTTATGTTGACTATTTCAAATTCTCTTAAAGGCATGATTCATTGTGAAAACCTCACTTATAATTAATGTGTCTTTAATTTGATCCCATATATTGACATGATTTATTGATTTAAGTATGGAATCATCACTTACAGTTTAGTTTCTAGTATTGAATTAGTTAATCGCTTAGATGTTAGGACATAAGCACATTTTGGGCCACATAATTTGACTCTTCAAACCTAAAATCAAAGTTATGTATGACCATTCTATACAATAGCCGAGCCAATATGGGATCATTGATTGCCCATGAATTCTACAACTTTAAAATCCCTATGTATATTTGGCTGTGTATTTGTATTTGACCCCTATAAATAGTTATAGCAAACAAAATCATAACTTCCTCCGCCTCCTAATTTTGTTTTCTTTTATCATCCCTCTTCCTTTTCTCTCTTTTTGTGTGCTATGCTCTATGTATTGTGTGAACCAAGTACTTGATGACATGCTTCAGTTGACAATCCTTGATAGTCTTCAACTTTGCTCAACGGTTTCCTACAATTGCCCTCGACAAATCTCTACTTATCATAGTAGTTGTCGACGTAGTTGGTGTAAGCTTTTGACAACTGTTGGCAGAAATGGTCCATTGACTCTTTTTTTTTGTCGAAATTATGACCCCATTATTTGAAAATCCTAACTCCGCCACTGATTTTATATCTTAAATAATCAACCTTATTGCCAATTGGATAGAAATGAATTTTTGTCAATGTGTATTGTCTTTACGTTTTGAACTAGGAATTTTTATATTGTTTCATTATTGAAGTGTTCACGTTACAAATGTTACAAATATCACAATATAATGATATTCTTCTTTACTTGTAAGCGAAAAATCTTAGATTCAATTTTTATAAATAGTAAATTGGATCAAACACTTAAGTTGGAGAACATTTCACCGCATGATAACCTAATTAACAATCTCATTCCCTTTACGTAGTAATAATGTAACTAATATATATTAAGATTTATATAAAGATGTATAGACTCCAGCATATTTTTCTCTCATTCCCACATAAACATCATGGATGTGGAAAACTTGAAATGTGGTTGCATGGAATGAGAAGTAATAATTATAGAGAAGCATTGAGAATGAGAAAGCCAGCTGGGAATGGAGGGCGTGGGGACGTTTTGGAAAATAATTTATGGAATTTATGAAGCAGACATTTTGCATGGGATAACAGTAATGTCTAGTAGTGACTCAATCAGCAAGCGAGGGTGGTGGAAAAAGGAGTTCTATAGTACGATATACAGTTAATGTGACATTTTATGTTAATAAAATAAAAATATGTGTAAATTTTTGTCTATATATTCTTATTTTATTTATACAAAAAGTTACGTGATGGTGTACTAATCCCATATATCTTGTTATATATCGGGTGATGGTGGGTGGGGTTAACGTGAGAAGAAGGAATCTACTCGTGATTGGGACACCATCGAAACTAGCAAGGGAAGCGTCAAACCATGTTCAGTTTTTGTGTTCCGAATGCCTCCAAACCTTCCTCACGGGAAGGAATTATACAGTTATATATACTCTCTCTCTCCCCCCCACAACTGCACAAGCCTATTTGGCATTTGTTTCTTTATTTGATTCCTTTTTAAAATCGCCATTTGATTGCAATGCATGCCTATCATACCAAACAGCAAACCCTTTTCCAAGTGTGTCATATTTTATGTAGCCTTTTTATTGTTTCTCCTCCTGTTTTCGGCACCTTCAATTTCTTTTCTCTAGAATTTTTGATAAAAATTCATATTTGTTTTTAGGGTTTAAGATTGCTCTCCTGTTAATTGAAGACTAGATTTTTATAAATACATCTCTGTACGTGAAGCTTAATTTCTTCGGAGTGCCAAGAAATAAGATTTGGCACGATGCAGGTAGTCTTTTCGTGATGTGGCCTTCATATAGTATTATTTGGTTAATGTTATGTATTCTTGATTTCTTGGTCCTCATCGTTACCCTAACTGCGATGGAGTTCTTAAGCAGCACCTATGCATGCATATAATGCATACAACACGAGCTCAAATGTTGCGACCAAATCTGATGGAAATTACCAACTAGCTATTGTTATTTGAAATACTGTATACATACAATATTTTACTTAAACGTGAGCAAACTCACTCTTTTATTCTTCCCTCTGGTGGTTCTGGTTAGCATGCAGGGAATTTAGTGGGTAGCTCAGCTGCTCATGTGTTCGCTGGAGTGCTAGCTACTTGCTCCGAAAGGTTGTCTGCATTCAGCATACATAAGCAGGCAACCATCTATTCATATGAGTTTCCCAACTTAATCATTACAACCAAACATTATATACCCCACCCACAGTTGCCCCTTCCTCTTGTCCTTTTTGAATGCGTCCTTAACATACTGCTTTTATTTCAGTGCTTTTCATCGTTCATATATGTAAATAGGAACAAATTTTTCGGTGTGCCAGAAATATTCTTGGTACACTAAGTGTTATAATATAAGTGATTGAAAATTTTTTTTTTCAAGTATCTAACCATTTATATTATAATACTTGTTATATCAGACCATATTTCCTGCACGCTAAACAATCTCTCGTAAATTGGGCTTCTATCAACCGTCAATCTCTGTAACAGGGTCCCAACTTAATCATTACAACCAAACATTGTACATAAAACTATTACTCTCATTTAATTCGCATTTAGTTCACTTACATTCTCACATAGGAATGCAAGTATTATCCTATTAATATTGCCTCAGAAGCAGATAAGTTTCATTAATAGTGTTACTATATGGTGCATGTGTCTCCATTAATTTGTTTTGTAACATATATGATGTTCTTATACAGGGGCACCGGCACGTAGTAATTTCCTTGTGCATTCCAAGCACCAAATATTTCACTCTCAAGTCTTTTTTTTGTTTCAGATCATAAATATGCCCATGTGAGTATATATAGAACTCTTCGCATGATTTTATGCATATACCAAGTGACATGGAAGAAGAACTTCTATGCCAAGTACATCACAACTATAACGTCTCGTATCAATGAATTGTGTCTTTATTTTGTTCATATGACTTTGTATTATTATCAATACACCACAATATAGTTGTATAACTATACCATATAATGTGCGAGGCCAGTCTCCAGTGCAGTTGCATGCACTCCTGATGAGCTGTACATGTCTCCTATATGTCAAGCATAAGAAAAAAATAAGGCCATGTCAAGTTGTTTATTAGGCTGCGGGCGTTTTGATATTGAGTTCTGGAATTTGATTAATTGTGCGTAGCTAGCATATATACAGTGTGGAATTTCAGTTCCAAATATTATATCCTTCTCGTGTCATCCATATAATATAGTTTATGATATTCCATTTAGTACGTATAATTTGGACAAGTTGCTCTTCAGATATATCAAGGTACGTTCTCAATTATATTCTTTCAGATATCTCCAAAACACACTGGCAAATCTTACCATTAAATATTTTTTTAATAATAAGTAATTTTAGAAGAATTAGCTACAATAAATATATTTTGACATTTGCTTTGCAATAATGATTATTTTTTCTGGAATTAGCTACAATAAATATATTTTGACATTTAGCTTGCAAAAATGATCAATTTTCAGTAATGAGAACATTTTGATTATATTTATATTGACGGTACAACAATGATATAACTAATGGTAACACAACGATAATATATAAAATAACGACTGATCATTCTACAACTAAATGTCAAAATATGTTATTATAGCTAGTTGGCCATTATTTAATTTCATTCTCACTTTTACATGCAAGACTTGCAGGTGATATTTTTGGCTAAAAATATAATAGATATGGGATTTACAAGCATGTCCTGTACACGTTTGTCGAATATATATATTGAGAAAGAGGAAGTACACTCACATGCAAATTATATTATCAATGACAACAAACATAAAGTTTAAAGGAACATGCCACATAGACAAATCTTTTAGTCATCCAAAGGATTAATTCCTAGGCAAAAAATAAACACCAAAGACAAATCATTTGTTTGGCAGCATACTTACAAAGATATGTAACCATTGATAGGAAAAATACTGTATACATCTTAGAGTAACAATTTGATTAAATGGAAATTTTTAATATGATCATTATAAAACTTTGATTTAACAGAGCTACACAAGCACACAGAACAACAGAAAAAAAAAAATTTAATTCTCTCAAGTACAAAGATTTGGCACGGTGATTACAACTCTTATGGGATGTTAACACAGTGAATTCAATGACATTACTAATTCACGTGTCAAAATATAAGTAATAAATTGATATCAATAGATAATATTTATGACATCAAATTGGTAGTTTGATTTTTTCCAAACAAATTGGTAGTTTAATCTGTTGGACTAATTTCTCCTGACCAAATTAATTTGTAGCCATGAGAGTCATAGACGGGATATTTTTTTTTTTGTGTGTTGGAACATGGCCCAGTATCAAAAGTGGCATAACACAAGTGGTTGAAAATTTTATTTTTCAAGTATCCAACAACTTATATTATGATACTTGATGTATCGGACCATGTTCCCGACATACTCATCAATTTTTTTTTTTTTTTTGAAAAGATATGGTAGTAGATTCATTTACTGCAAAAGAGGTGCAGTACAAAAGTTACATCCAGAGCCAGTTACGGCATTACATTATCCTCCACAAGTAAGTCAGTGACAATACTTGGGGGAGTAACATCCCATATACAATCTTGTTGCATCGAGAGACTAACACGTGCAAGGCTGTGAGCAACCGAGTTTGCTTG